TCACAATAAATTTAATATTACATATATATATATAAATATAGAATGGGCCCCTCCAACGCCCATTCTCGTGAGAACGCAACCAATATTTTTTTATCGTCTCTCCGTTTTTATGTTATACTATATGTTCTATACAATGACGATTGCAGATAACTTCTACCATCTTATTTTATGATTGCTTATTTTTGTATAATGGCAGTAATAAAAGCTTACAAAGATAATGAAAAATATTAATTCGGGAAAGGCAATAATTTGTTACTTTCTAGTATTTTAATTAAATGGAGTGTCATGCATTTAACGTTATTGGAATATTTTTCATTACAAGGATTTCCTTTCAAGGCTACAGTTGTAGCGAAAGCCGCAGCATAAATTCCACAAGAGGTGCAATCCGGTTATGTTTGCACTTCTTCGAAAATTATATCATATTTGTTGATCTTAGGATAACGAAGGCGAATATATTCTTTTTCTTTAGCAGCCAATGTTTCGTACGTAGTACCAGATAAGCTGTCGTACACGTGAAGTTTGGTGCCATCAAAATAAATACATCGCCAATGATCTGTGCAATTTCCGCCAATAATTTGTAAGCTTTTATTACTACGACTAGCTTCAATTATATGCGGGTATTCTATATATAACACACTTTGTGTTTCAAAGCAAGAAGTTTCTCTTATTACGCGTAAAAATAGATCTAACGATTCATCATTTAATTTACTCTTTATGGGCAATACATTTTTCTTCACTAATAAGAGCGAAGATATTATATTATCTAACATTTTTCTTTGCTTTTTTATATCATCCTCAGTTAGATCTCTTTTTTCGTTTGAGTAATCAGTTATAATGCAATCGTCATCTTGCTCCATTTCTGGAATAGCAACAGTGGTAGTAGTGTTTTCAATAACACTGTCCACTTTTATGTCATTTTTTTTAGCTACTTGTGCTTTGATGACATACTGCGGTTCTCGAATAGGCATATTTCTTGCCGCTCTACTATCTATTATTTCAGGAACCAAGCAATCTTCGTAGAATCGTGTAAGCTGTGATAACATTTTGTTCCCAAAATCTGTTTCACGCTCGACAATCGTGTACTTCAATCCAAGGGGTGTCCACCACCCTTACGAAAAAGAACTACTGCCGATTACACATAAATATTACTAATAATTACATGGGAATATCGCTGGATATCACAGGAAATATTATTGGGTATTACAAAAATATTACTGGATATTACAAGAAATATTACAGGATATCACAGAAAATATTATTGACAATTACATAGAATGTCAATAATTATTTCGTACCACTGCCGAAATATATTACTGCCAAAATATATTATTGCCAAAATATTACTGCCTAAATAAAAGAGGCTTTTTGGAATAATTTCAGTAGAGTTACTGATAAGACAATATTTTAATAATGATTTCCAGTTAATTTTAAAAGATAATTAATAGACACAACGACCAAAATATATTATTACTTTTTTTTCATCATTGAAATAATAGTAAATATATATATTGGTGATGTGTCCAATAACTTTCGTTTTAAATTAACTGAAAATTATATTACTAAAATATTGTTGCTTTATCAGTAACTACTGAAATTATCCCAAAAAACTTCTCCTATAAAATCTTATATGTTACTTCAATATACATTAAACACGTATATAATAAAATAATAGCTATTTATTGCATACAATTTTATATATATATATATATATACAAATATATATTAGGTATATTTTTTATTTATTAAACTCAGAAATTTTTGCAAACTTTAATATACTCAGAAATATTGCATACTTATACTCAGAAAACTTGAAAAAAAACGAAAAGTATTCTTTGCATTATTGCATTTGCTACGAACAAAAACTTAATTAAAATATTTTAAAAATTAAAAAAAAACTTAAAAAAGTCACATGTTTTGCACTTTGCATTTGCTGCAAACGAATTTTTAAAGAAAGTTAACAATATTTTTTTGCGTTATTACATTTGCTGCGAACAGCAGCTCGAAATAATTTTTCATTGTCCCGAGTCTTTCCTCCGAACCGTTCGTATATGTACGCTGTAAAAAAATTAGATTTGATGTAGATACCTTGAAAACACCGATTATAATATTTAATAATTCTCATTTATTTTATGTTATTATTTATTTTACCTGCAACATCTGCTACACGTGTAGGATCAAGCTGTTGTGTCGATGCTTTTGGGCAGTTTTTTTCCTTTATTCGCATTAGCCTGCTTCCCTGTTAAGCTGCTTTCTCGCAGTTCCTCGCGATCGAACACTAATCCAAGTAATTCGCTTGCCATCATTGATAGGCCGTCTTTGTCATTAATTTTTTCCAATTGTTGATTGCTTAAAAACCGATCTCCAAAATATTTTCCATTTTCCTGTAAATTAAACAGAGAATTCTTTTAAAAATATATTACCATAGAGTACCATAAAATTACAAATTATTGTCTAATTTATTGAGTAAAATATTATGAATATATTATTAACCTTTAATTTGTTCTCATTACTACTGATCGTCATCAGTTGTCGTTTCTCGTCACGTTTTGTTTCAACGGTTTTAAGTACACGATTTTTCTGAAAAATGTAATTTATAAGTTATTCTGAATTGTAACTGAGTCATTTTTCATGATAGTTTATTATTAAATATTAAATTAGTGTGTATAAGTATAAAAGTGTATATTTTGCTTTATAACTATAATCAACTTTGAATTCTTTTGTATTGGCCTTTTTAAAAACAAGATAAATTTAATATTACATTATAATATTAAATAATAAACTATCATAAATATTTATAAATAAATAAATATATATATGTATTGTGAATGAAATTTTACCATTTCATTGTCATCCTGTGGAACAATCGTTTTATTTTTATAAGGTACTCTAAAAACTGCGTAATCATCGTTCAATGAGTCTTCATTTATTGGCGGATCAAATGAATCTATGAAGCCGTCAAAGACAATTTTTTGGGCATTATCTTCGGCTCTCTCTTTATGTAAATTGTCTACATTCTGTAAAAGAAAAAATGTTTTACAAAATATCTATTTCTATTTTCTTTTGTTTAGTGAGCTGAAAATGCAGGTGTATATTCAACTTATTTTAAACTTTTTTTAAAAACTTATTTACCTGTTTTTTTGTTTCCCGTTCATTAACTTTTAAAAGTCTTAAAATTGTCGTCGTCATGTCTTTTATGTCTTTTAAATCTAAAAACAAAAAATATATACATATTGATATATAATTTTTAATAAAAATCTTTATTATTTTTACATTTGTGAAAAAAAAATAAATCTAAACCTTTTGCGCTAGCTATTTTTATTTCTTTATTTTCTTCTTTTAATTTTAAATTTTCGGCTTCCAACGCTCTATTTTTCTTTCTCAAAGATACCGTTTCTTCTGTAAATTTTATTTTATTGTTATGTGATGTTGATAGAGTTCTCATTGATATTGCACAATCATCATCTGATGACGAAGTCGAATCCGAATCTGCACGAGTCACCTATAGATATGTTGGAATTATTACAGTAAAAACATCTTTTATTTCTCAGTAATAAAAGTAATGCACTTTTTCAATAAATAAATAAATAAATAAATAAATAAATAATATATATATATATATATATATATATATATAGATTCTTACACTTTGTGCCTCTGATTGTGATTGATCCTTTTTTTTAATTTTTTCCAGTATATTTCCCGCCACTTTTTTTGCAGCACTGGTTCGACGTTTATTTGTATCCTAGCAAACAAAAATACAAGACATATTAGTGACATTATTTTTAAAATGTATATATTTACTGAATTATCTATTATATAACAATTAGTATAAAGTGTTTATGTGTTTAAGAACAAGTTCGTAAAATTTGTTCTCAAACACATAAAAACAGATTTTTATACTAATTGTTATATATATATATATATATATATATAATAGATAAAGTAATGAAAAGAATTGAAAGTATAATATGTAAAAAATCAAGCTATAATTAAGACATAAAAGTAAGACATTAATTAAATCAATTCTTAACATAATCAAAAACATCAGAAATTAAAGAATTCACATCGCATATATCTTAAGTCTACAGTATTTTATAAATACTATTTTATTAATGTCTTACTTGTATGTGTTAATTGCAGCTTGAAAATTTTTTCATTTACAGCGCATGCATGTTAAGTCTACAGTATTTACATAATACTGTAGACTTTAAGATGTATGCGCTGTAAATTTTCTAATTTTTGATGTCTTTTGTTCACGTTAAGAATTGACTTTATTAATGTCTTACTTTTATCTTTTACGGCTTAAAATTTTTAATTTTTTTCATACCTTTAATTCTTTCTTTTTATCATCCTCTTCACTACTACTGCTGCCTTTCTTCTTAGCAGCATACTTCTTCCTATCTTCCTTCGTTGGATTTGGCTCATCATATTTAAGATAATTTTTAAGCTGCGTGTTCATGCTTGTCCAATCTGTGAATATATAAATGTAGATATTTATAATTTTACAAATTTACAAGTATCCTAATTAAATAATATTTGTCACTGCCATATATGCAGTAAAGTAAATATAATAAAATTTTTTATTTAAAAACTATACTCATATTAATAACCTCCAAATCCTAAAATGGACACGATGTGCGGAGTCCACTTGCAATTAAGAAATTTTTTCTTCATTTTTGCATTCAGTGGACCAACGATGCAATTCGCCGGCCAACGAATAACTACATGTTCACCGCTTTTTATAAGTGCATTTACACGTTCTTCTTCTTTCACTGTTGTTAGCCATGCGAAATATCCAACGGCTATATTTCCGTTCTCGTTAGGAAACTCTACGAGAATACACTTTTCATCGTTCAACTCCTCTGTGTCATTCACCTCCATTATCCGATAAATACTATAATTATCTATACTTTCCAAATTCCTCCGAATTCCTTGTTAGCACGATCGTATCGCGAGTATGATTCTTTCTGGTTTACCGCGTTATCCTTATGCGCGTACGCATGCGTTCCACAACGCATGCTCAACGCGCAACAGTTTGCATATCACCTCGTTATCACGTGGCTCTATGTTTTTGTATACATTACATCGATGGTTTTGAAACGAAGTATTGAGAATAATGAAACGAGGCCCTTATAAAGAACATTTGAAAAGGACTGGCGACCTTCCTCTATCGACAGACTATTCTCGAAAGAAAAGACGAGTTGGTGTTGGTGAATGTAGTACGGGCAAGAGAACGACATACAATGAAGAGGTTATGTCCCCTGATGCACGTGTAAGTACATAATAAATAATTATAAATTTGCATTTTCTAAAATATAATTGTAATATTTGATTTACTTACATGAATTTTGAAGTTATAATTTGTTCAGAAGTAAGTTGACCCCAGGTCAAGAACTTTATTATTTGTTCAAAGAGAATGAAGAAGTAGGTCGATAATTTGAAATTCTATAATTTTTGAGTTAATCCGGCACGGGGCAGCACGCACTGAACCTACACGCCGCGCTTCAAGCGTTCGATTATCGAATCGATCGGGGATGAACTGCCTCGTCATCGAACCTGGGCATTCGCTCCTGGCACGGCTTTGCGATTAGTCACATGTGGGTTTTCCGTCGCGATTCTAATTGTTCGTAGTTCGTTTGATTAATAAAAAAAATAATCAGATTGATATTCTGCTGTGATTCAGTGATAAGTGAGATGTGAAATACGTTCACTTTGACATTCGCTAATTAACGGTAGCAACAAGGTGCGCCGTTATATACGCGACATAAAATTTGCGCTCAAAACATTGTTAACGAAGCGGAATTCAGTGATTTGGGACCAGAATTCACGCAATGGTGAAATATCAAGGTGCCGAAGTCCGATTGTTTCCACGAACGTAATAATTGTATACATGAGGCTCGCGCGTGTTCGCTTGGCACGCGTAGATCACGTGAGTTGGAGCGCGCAGATCACGTGATCAGTCATCTGGGACTGATACCTGATGTCGTGATTGTGTTTGCGTTCCTTTTTTTTCATCCCTTCGAGCCCGTGGTGCTCAACGCACTGTAACATTTATGTGATCAGTGATTCTTCATGTTAATTGAAACATTTCGGTTCGCGATTTAATATCGCATTCGCCGCAATCGGCAACGTGTACGAAATCTTAATGTGAGATTTCGAACGATTCGATACACGAGTTTCGAGCGTGTTCATCGTAACTAGCAATTGTTATGCAACAAATAGTTTTTCGGTGGTGTCCATGCAACACATGCTAGATACCATATAGTGAGACATTTCGGACTGCTTAACAACCACGTCGTACGTGTTTTCGCGGTGACTATTTTATTCGTTAATAGATAAAGATTTTATGTAAAGGTTTCAAATTAATTTGCGTTTATGTACATTGTGACTCTCGGACAAATTTAGTTAATAAATGGATTGTTTTTGTGTAATTTGTGCATATAATTCCGTATTCTGGTTCTCGATTCGGCACGTGGCTTAAATCGTTACCCATCCTGCGCACCAATCGGAGCGCGTCCACCCTCCTTAAGATACAGTCCACTTTGAATCTTCCTGTGCAATCTATACACGAGACGGATATCGACGATCGGATTTACAACCCGATTGTCAGGATCCGTAGCTTCGTGCGTGAGCGTTCAACGTCAGCAATCGAGCGTACGCGCAAACATTTTTTGGTCCTTCGAGCCGGATAGGAGAGTAATGACGAATCGAGAACACTGAATTAAGGACACCAGTGATATTTAAGTGCAGCGTGATTCGAGATACAGTCAGTCAAGTAATCGCGTTTAAGTAGACAATCGTGTTAGTGACATATTCATAAACAACTATAGTGTCAAAATGGAAGACGCTCTTGCAAATCAGCAAACTATCTTCCACTCAATTGCTCGAGCTCTCGACAATTTCAAAAAGATTGGTCGTTCTAATTTGACGGCCGCAAGGGTTCGCTCACGGATTGCGACTTTACAAGCTCAATGGACTCAAGGTGTGCACAATCACACCATTCTGCTTCAACTTGTTCCAGAGGATGATCAAGGGTCAATTAATTATTTCAAGAAGAATCAATTCGACCTTCACGAAGATCTCTATCAATCAGCCCTGGATCATATGAACGAATGTCTAGAAGACCTGGTTCCTGTCGTAAGTCGAGATACATCCCTCGAAACTTCTTTTGCGCAAATGGACGCATCGTCATTCTCGTTAAAGCATCTCCCTCCTATTAAATTACCGCCTTTTTCTGGAAAAAACGAGGATTGGGAGACCTTTCGCGACCGTTTTCAGTCGTTGATTATAGATAACAAAGAATTGTCAAATTTCACTCGTATGCATTTTTTGATCTCTAGTTTGACAGGTCCGGCCCGCGATGCGATATCAGGAATCAAAGTAACCGCCGAAAATTTTAAGGTCGCGTGGAAAGCGTTAACCACGCGTTTCGAGAACAAACGACGGTTGATCGAAGTACATGTGTCGACCTTATATCATCTTCCAAAGATGACTCGCGAATCAGCGTCAGAACTTCACGAGTTGCGAGATAAAACGGAACAAGCGTTAGCGACATTGAAACGTCTTGATCGTACAGCAGAGGATATTGTAAGCGATATATTAGTATACTTCATTTCACAAAAGTTTGATTCTGCTACGCGTCGAGCGTGGAAATTGAAGAGTAGCGATAACGAAAATCCTCCAACGTACAAAGACTTGATACGTTTCATATCTTCGCGCGCTATAGCGCTTGAGGAACTCCATCCTCACGAACACGATAAAACGAAGTCACATTCGAGAGTGACAAGCGCCACCGCAACTGCGTCAGTTAATTTGTCATGTCCAATTTGTAAACAATCTCACTTTCTCTCTAAGTGTCAACAATTTCTTTCAATGAGCACGGATCAACGACGCGAATTGATAAAGAAACTTAAGCGATGTTTCAATTGCTTAAGCGATAAGCACGTAGCACTTAATTGTCAGAGTAAATTCACGTGTCGCAAATGTAGCAAGCGGCATCACACAATGATCCACGTTGACTCGGGCTCATTGCAACAAACAACGAGCATTCCTGCGTCATCGAGTTCGCAGAATGTTACTAATATATCAAATGTCACAGCGCTTTCAGCGGTCACGTTAACTACATCACCGACTCCTGTGGTGTTGTCTACGGCAACGGTGAAAATACATTCGCTTTCTGGACGTTCCTTAACTGTCAGAGCCTTACTTGACGGTGGTTCAGAACTCACATTTCTTACGGAACGCGTAGCGCAAATTTTACGCTTACCTCGTATGCAAACATTTACTTCAACTTCGGGGATTAGCTGTGCAGATACCGGTACATGCCGATCTGCCGCGTTAATTAATATTTCGCCTCGCGATAAACCTGAGCCAACCTTCACCACGGTAGCTTACATCATGAGAGCATTGACGAAGTATGCTCCCAGACACGCTTCGTCATTACGTGACTGGAAACACATCTCCAACTTGACCTTAGCGGATGACGATCCGACTGGATCAACTCCTATTGACCTCATTATTGGAGCTGATTTGTATAGCAAGGTTCTTGTCAATATACGCAATGGACCCATAGGTCAACCAGACGCTATACAATCGCATTTCGGGTGGATTCTATCTGGACCTACGTCAATCCCTAATCATGTCATACAAAACACCCATGTAGTCGGCTCTACTTTGGTTTCATCGCATGTCGGAGCCCAACCTCAAGGCTCACCATTACCCAGTTCACAACAAAGGTATCATGCAGTTGCTCACTGCTGCTCCTTGGAACGGCAATTATGTAAGTTTTGGGAGGTTGAAGAAACTCCTCAACATGTTCATGCGTCCATAGAAGATAAACAATGCGAGGATCACTTTCAACGCACGCATACTAGAACAGCAGATGGCAGATATGTCGTGCGACTCCCTTTTAAAGAGGGCCCGCCTATTAAAATAGGCGACTCTCGCAGCATAGCTGAACGCCGACTTTCGTCGCTAATTCGTAAATTTGCTCGTCAACCCACACTTGCACAAGAATATTTGGACTTCATGCGCGAATATGAGCAATTAAATCATATGAAGCAAGTCGCTCCTTTGCATTCAAATAATGTTCAAGCGACCTATATACCTCATCATCCAGTCATCAAGGAGACAAGTTCGACAACCCGTTTAAGAGTCGTGTTCGACGCCTCCTGCCTCACATCCAATGGAACGTCTCTCAACTTTCACATGTACACCGGCCCAAAATTGCAGTCCGATCTACAAGCAGTTATATTGCGCTGGAGGCAATATAAATATGTATATTCTGCGGACATCGCTAAAATGTATCGCCAAATATTAATCGATCCTAGAGATAGAGACTACCAACGGATACTGTGGGTCGACCACAACTCAACTATACAGGAATATCAACTCCTTACCGTTACTTACGGCACTGCGTCAGCACCGTTTCTTGCTCTTCGAGTAATCCAACAATTGAACTGTGACGAGGGAGATTCATTTCCGTTAGCCTCTCCCATCCTAAGAGAAAACATCTACGTCGATGATGTATTATTTGGTGCAGACGATATCACACTGTTAAAGCAAGCTCGCACTCAACTTTGTAATTTGCTGAACCGTGGTGGTTTCGATCTCCGGAAATGGGCCAGTAACCACTCAGAATTGCTTTCAGATATTCAGCCTGACAATCATGGATTGGCTTACGCAAAAAATTTGGAGACTGATGACAGTCTAAAAATCCTCGGTATTGTCTGGAACCCGAAACATGACTGCTTTCAGTTTCAAATTACATTATCTGAAACTGTTCCTAACACCAAACGAGCAATTCTATCAACAATAGCAAGATTATTCGACCCGCTCGGGTGGGTCACACCTGCGATTTTAAAGGCGAAAACTCTCATGCAGCAATTATGGCGACACCGTATCGGATGGGACGACATTATTCCGGACGAAATCTTATCATCCTGGAAGTCTATCTACGAGTCATTACCCTATCTACGAAAATTCAACTGAGTCGCTGGACAGGTTTTGAGTCCGGAACGGCAACTGTGGAATTACACGGGTTCGCGGACGCATCCACAATCGCTTACGCAGCAGTGGTGTTTTTACGCGTGACATCCTCCTCTGGGAAAATTACGGTCTCGCTCATTGCTGGGCGATCTAAAGTCGCGTCTCTTAAACCAATGACGGTTCCTCGCCTCGAACTTTCTGCTGCCGTTCTGCTAGTTCGCTTGATTGACTTTATCAAGCAGTCACTTCATTTAAGCGACATTGCGATTTATTGTTGGACAGACTCCACTGTAGTTCTCGCATGGCTCAAGAAGCACCCCTCAAATTGGAAAACTTTCGTAGCTCATAGAGTAGCCGAAATTCAGACACGATTACCAACCGGTAGTTGGCATCACGTAAACACCAGTGAAAACCCCGCAGACTGTGCTTCGCGCGGATTACTCGGCCGAGATTTGATATCCATCAACCTATGGTGGCATGGGCCGTCATGGTTGCATCTTCATTCTGATGAGTGGCCTCATCAAATTCTATCAGAGCACCACGAAACTCAGTTGGAACTGAAGGCATGTGAAGCTCATCAAAACAGTACTCGTGAAGACTGGAGTCTTGCTGCACGGTATTCATGGTGGCCAAAATTGATACGCGTCACTGCATATATATACCGATTCATAAACAAATGTCAACGGAAGCACGCGGCAGATCACAAAGATCACGTCCGGTCCCACGCCATTACAGCATTTGAGTACATGCAGTCTCGTAACTTTTGGTTGCATATGATTCAAGCAGAGGTGTTCAAGCAAGAACTTTACTTACTCAAGTCAAACAAGAGGTTATCAAGAAACAGCGCTCTGATATCATTAAATCCATTCCTAGACGCAAATGGTCTACTCCGCGTTGGCGGAAGATTGGAGCATTCTCATCTACCATTTCAATCCAAACATCCAGTTCTACTAGCTGATCATCCAATTACTACAATGCTCATTCGCTACACGCACATAGCCTCGCTGCACGCCGGTCTTCAGTCTACCCTGTCTAAAATTCGCCAAGAATTTTGGATTATAAAATCTAGGCCTTTAGTTAAATCAGTTATCTACAGGTGCGTTCGATGCACGCGAGAAAGAGCTCAGGTAGCCAATCAGTTAATGGGTCAACTCCCATCAACTCGAGTCTCAACGCCAACGAGGGCGTTTTTGCACAGCGGCATCGATTATGCCGGTCCAGTGCTCATTCGAGCCTCTGCTGGTCGAGGAATCACCTCACGAAAGGCTTACATAGCCGTTTTCATATGTTTGGCAACTCGAGCCATTCATCTCGAGTTGGTCAGCGATTATTCAACGCCAGCATTTTTGAACGCATTTCAACGATTTTGCGCCAGACGAGGCTTGCCAGCAGTTATGTATTCGGATAACGGTACAACATTCACAGGAGCCGATAAAGAGCTATCCCGCGCGTATCGGGATGCTCAACGCAATACGGATTTTCTCAATTTAATCGCAACAGATAGGATCACTTGGAGTTTCATCCCGCCTCATGCTCCTCATTTTGGAGGACTATGGGAGGCAGGAGTGAAGAGTGTCAAACACCACCTTCGTCGAATTGTAAGCTCACACGCATTGACATTTGAGGAGTTCACGACAGTGTTGTGCAAAATTGAGGCTATCCTCAACTCAAGGCCGCTTTCTCCACTCAATGATACTCCAGATGACTACGAGTTCCTGACCCCAGGTCACCTTTTGATTGGGACTGCCATTACTACGAATCCGGAACCTTCCGTTCTACAATTGAACGAAAACAGATTGTCGCGATGGCAATTACTCAGACAGATTACGGAGCGTTTTTGGAAGCAGTGGCAGTCAGATTATGTCAATACTCTTCAACAAAGATCAAAGTGGCGTCGAGAAACGCCTCCGATTCAGGTTGGCTCAATGGTTTTGATTCAAAACCCCCTTCTCCCACCGTGTAAATGGGAATTAGGGCGAGTTATTCATTGTCATCCGGGCTCTGACGGGTTAACTCGAGTCGTCTCAGTTAAAACAGCGACGTCCGAATACAAGCGACCAGTAACTAAATTGTGCCTACTACCTATCGATATTAACTTAATCGATCAACTGTCGGAACGTAAGACAGGTACTGCGGAAAACCCAACTCCATAATGCGCATGCAACGTCTCAATCGTTCGCATAATTAGGACAAGTCAAGTCCTTCGTAGTTAGTTAAGGCGGGCGGCGCTCAATATCCTTGACTACTCAAGACCACTCGCGTCGCGTTAATGTAAGTTTAGTAAGAATCTATGTCTTAATATTGTTATTCAATCATGTAAGCAACCAAATGCCTGTTATTGTTCAATATGTAATCACTGAATCTCACTCGAAAAATCATTAAGCGATTAACGTTTTATTTTTTCTTTTTTTTTTCTTTTATGTAACAAAAAAAAAACCCAAACCTGGGGTAAGTTCTTTAGTTACTGTAAGACATTTCGAAATCTTTATTTCGAGGCGGGCGGTATGTTCAGAAGTAAGTTGACCCCAGGTCAAGAACTTTATTATTTGTTCAAAGAGAATGAAGAAGTAGGTCGATAATTTGAAATTCTATAATTTTTGAGTTAATCCGGCACGGGGCAGCACGCACTGAACCTACACGCCGCGCTTCAAGCGTTCGATTATCGAATCGATCGGGGATGAACTGCCTCGTCATCGAACCTGGGCATTCGCTCCTGGCACGGCTTTGCGATTAGTCACATGTGGGTTTTCCGTCGCGATTCTAATTGTTCGTAGTTCGTTTGATTAATAAAAAAAATAATCAGATTGATATTCTGCTGTGATTCAGTGATAAGTGAGATGTGAAATACGTTCACTTTGACATTCGCTAATTAACGGTAGCAACAAGGTGCGCCGTTATATACGCGACATAAAATTTGCGCTCAAAACATTGTTAACGAAGCGGAATTCAGTGATTTGGGACCAGAATTCACGCAATGGTGAAATATCAAGGTGCCGAAGTCCGATTGTTTCCACGAACGTAATAATTGTATACATGAGGCTCGCGCGTGTTCGCTTGGCACGCGTAGATCACGTGAGTTGGAGCGCGCAGATCACGTGATCAGTCATCTGGGACTGATACCTGATGTCGTGATTGTGTTTGCGTTCCTTTTTTTTCATCCCTTCGAGCCCGTGGTGCTCAACGCACTGTAACATTTATGTGATCAGTGATTCTTCATGTTAATTGAAACATTTCGGTTCGCGATTTAATATCGCATTCGCCGCAATCGGCAACGTGTACGAAATCTTAATGTGAGATTTCGAACGATTCGATACACGAGTTTCGAGCGTGTTCATCGTAACTAGCAATTGTTATGCAACAAATAGTTTTTCGGTGGTGTCCATGCAACACATGCTAGATACCATATAGTGAGACATTTCGGACTGCTTAACAACCACGTCGTACGTGTTTTCGCGGTGACTATTTTATTCGTTAATAGATAAAGATTTTATGTAAAGGTTTCAAATTAATTTGCGTTTATGTACATTGTGACTCTCGGACAAATTTAGTTAATAAATGGATTGTTTTTGTGTAATTTGTGCATATAATTCCGTATTCTGGTTCTCGATTCGGCACGTGGCTTAAATCGTTACCCATCCTGCGCACCAATCGGAGCGCGTCCACCCTCCTTAAGATACAGTCCACTTTGAATCTTCCTGTGCAATCTATACACGAGACGGATATCGACGATCGGATTTACAACCCGATTGTCAGGATCCGTAGCTTCGTGCGTGAGCGTTCAACGTCAGCAATCGAGCGTACGCGCAAACATAATTTTATTGACATATGTTTTTCTTTATATGTTAAGTATTTGCAATTTGTATATATATGTATTTTGACACATGAATATTATGTGTAGAATGGACTACCGTTTGATGATCTGCATGAAAATGAAGATTATGTAAATCAACAGGAACTACTAGACCATTTATGTATTGCAAATCTTGATAATATTGATGATAGTAATTCATCGGTTCAAGAAATTGATGACAGTGACCAGCAAAGTGATACAAGCATAAGCGATGATAATAATGATTATGACAGTATTGAAGAGCACAAATCATCAAGTGTTAGCGATTTCAATGAAGGCTCCGAGAATTTCGAATCAGATCAGGATGAAGAAAATTTTGAAGATGAAAATATTAATGTTGAAAAGCGTTGTCCCAATCATGACGTACAGGTAAACAAATAAATTAAAGTTATTATTACGCATACAATATTTTAATAATATTTAAAAATATTACAGTGCCGACAAGTTTTATATGAGGGCTGCGATTTAACAAAAGAAGAAGTGTACTTCTAATAATGAGTGTAGCCTTACGTCATCATTTCACTGATGCAGCATTACAATCTTTCATCCAAACCATTGATTGCCATCTTCCTCGCACATGTCACGGTTTGAAATATCTATTTTGTAAATCTGTACCAAAGCAGACTTATCATGTATATTACTTTTGTCCACAATGTATACTTATTTTACATGTTGACAATGACTGCATTACTGTAAAATGCGATAAATGTTCTGAGCAGTATAACCCATCACAGCTCAAAAGATGGAAAATTTTTTATATATATACCGCTGAAAGAGCAACTAATCGAGTTAGTTAATTCTAAGGTTTTTATGCAATTTCGACAGGAAAACGAAAAGGAAAGTGACGTTATCAATGGTAAAGTGTACCGTAAACTGAAAAGAAAAAATATTATAGGGGAAAATGACATTACTATTCAATGGAATACAGATGGCGTACAACTTTTTAATTCTTCCCTATCTTCTTTATGGCCAATTTTGGTAACAATTAATGAATTGCCTTATCGTATTCGAAAACAACAAATATTGCTAACTGGTTTATGGTTCCAATCAAGTAAACCTCCAATGAATGTTTTTCTCCAACCTTTTCTTGAAGAACTGATAGATTTACATTTTAATGGCTTTGAAAGCACGACATTTATTCACCAAGAACCAATTCTTATAAAAGTCCATACATTGCTTGCTCCGTTGATTCTGTTGCCAGATCAGCCATTCAGGGTATAAAGCAGTATAATGGAAAGTATGGGTGCCCATATTGTTATCATAAAGGAAAACAATTTGTATAGAACAAAATAGGCGAAAACGAGTATACTGTGGCATATATGTACTTTACGTAAACAGAGCCATTACGTGCGTCATGCTGAAAAAAGTCAAGAAAAAAATAAACCAGTTAAGGGCGTCAAATGGCCATCAATTGTTACACTTATACCACTGTTTAACGTCATTTCATCATTTCCGCCGGAATATTTGCACAGCCTGGCAGAAGGTGTAATTAAACAATTTTGATGGCATGGTTTGACTCTAGCAATCGTGAGAAAGATTGGTCCTTACGTAAGCACGAAGTGCTCTTTGATAAAAGATTAATGAGCATGAAACCTACCTCCGAAATAACTAGAACACCTCAATCAATAACACAACGGAGATTGTGGAAAGGTGCAGAATACAAAAATTTTGCTTTATATTATTCTCTCATATGTTTAAAAGGGTTAATGCCAAATAAATATGTACAGCATTGGTTGTTACTAGTTTACAGTATGCATGTTTTTCTAAGTACAACAATATCTCCTAATAATTTTATCATAGCTACGTTTGCGCTCCAAAAATTTGTACTTGATACTGAAAAATTGTATGGAGCAATGTTTATGAACTACAATATACACTTGATGTTACATATTCCAAAAGCTGTAAAACAATTTGGCGCTTTTGGGCATGGTCAACTTTTCCGTATGAAGATTTTAATCATACTATACAATCACTTTTTAACGGCACTCAATATATTCCGGAACAAATCTGCAAATTTTATTCTCGTATAAGATACGTAAAACAAAGTTCAGTTTTTGATCAGCCTAATTGTAGTAAAAAAGGAAAGGATCTTTTTGATTCTATTATAAAAGAATGTCGAATTAAAAGATGCATGGAATATGGAAATTCTTTGCGAGCATTTGGTTCTGCAATTATCATAGAGTTATCATTAATAGAAAAAATAACTGTCGAACAATTTTTGGGAGAATCAGTTAAAAACAAAGCACTAGCTTATCAGCGATTTATATACCAAAATATTCTCTATCATGGTTCCAATTGTACTCAACTAAAAAAAAGATGTAACAGTACAATTTTAACTACAGATAGATCGTTATTAGATATTCAATATCTATGTATAGCAGAAACATCAGCAGGCATAAAAAAACAATTGTTAATTTGTAAGGTATTGCAAACACTGCGTGGTGATGAAATATGTAAAAATAGGAATATAACGTCAAATCTTTTCTCTTACGTTATAGAAAAAACAGACATTATTAAATGTGTATTTCCTTCTGCGATTAGAAAGAAATGTATTAATATTCCTGTTTATTCCCTAAACAATATTAATTATGATAATAATAAGCGATGCATAATACCTCTTGTAAATAATATAGAAACTGATTGAATTATATAAATAATAAGAATTATGAAATAAGTTTATAATGAAAAATGTAAATGTAAAAAACATATGTAAAATAAAAATGTAAAAAATGTAAATTTAAAAATCTATACATGTAAAGCAATAATTGTTTTAACATTTGTATTAAAAATCTTTTCTTCCAATAAAAAATAACGTTGATAGTATGTAACTTATTGTACGTTATTCACTTTGTGACATTGTAAATTTTAACATTGTAAAAATTTTAACATTGTAAAAAATTATTTATTGCAGAAAATATGGAACATTAATTTTTAAATATTTTAGACATTAAAAAACGTTCAATAAAATCTTTCGTAATAATTAAAATAAATAAAAGCAAAAACTTATTAAATATATAAATAATAATTATACTATATATTTATAAAACATTTATTTTTTAATTAAATTTACATTATTCATATATAAAAACCTAATATTATTTGTATCTTTGCAAAATATTTTGCTGCTTTATTTGAAAGAAATATTTAAACCTTCTAGCATAACAAAATTTTAAAGTTTTTATATTTGCAATAACATTTTCAATATTTCTGCTTATATTATATAATAGAATTAATCATGAGCGACATCCAGTTATATTGCGTGTAATTTGTACCCTCAGTAGTTATTACATATGCAGTGATCTTTCTAGTGATACCCAACAGGCGAGTAATATTCGTCTGTATTCCGTTGCTAGTAATTAGTTATGAGGCAATAATATTCGTCTTGATAATTACAGAGCCATCAGTAATAATCACACAGCCGCGTGTAATAATCACACGGCCGGCAATAGTTCCTTTTCGTAAGGGTGCTGTGGTTTTTTTTTTTAATTTTTTTTATTTTAT